CCGCAAAACCCCAAAACCCCAAAACCCCAAAACCCCTTTAATACTTTATTTCATAGAATCAATTTATTTAAATATTTGAAATGTCTCAAAGAATCCCACAAAGGAAAGCCCCTGAGTATTACCAAGGAGTTTTGAAGAGATGGGAGCAAAATCCGATGAGCGGCCAACAGCATGAAGAAAGCTTCTTGAAGCTTCAGCGAGAATTTAGAAAATATTACCCAAATATTTACATACTCAACAGCAAAGCACTGTTGATCCAGCATGCTGTGTTTGGGTGGCTCTCTGGATTAAGGAAGGTTACTCCTAAGTTCTCTGGAAGTCAGCTTAGCTCCTCACAAATTGTATTCAAACCAAAATTTAAACTCAATGAATTATCTAGATCATCTAGTGTTAAGAGAAAAGTTCGCTCTAAAGTAAAGAGTGGGAAATTTGATAATAAGGAAAACCTGTGCCATGAAAGATCTGTTCATATATCACCGATCAACTGTGACAACCCTAAAAGAATGCGTGTTACTAAAAACAAGCCAGAGGATAAGCCACAGAAACTTAGTGTGCATCCATATGGCATTGATGAGGGTCTGACTAAGAGGTTGATTCTTAGAGACAGTAAGCTCAATTTGAGCAACAGGACCACGAATTTAGGAACTAGTTTAAGAAATATCACAAATGTTATTCATAAAACCGTTGGAAAATACAATGGGGATAATTTGACAAGAATGGAAGAGAGAAAGAAAAACAACCTCTCAATGTGTCACAAGTAAGAATGTACCCATCATGTCTAGGACTGAGTATGAGACTACCACCAATCCATTCAGACCCTCCTCAACTCTTGCCAAGCCAAGAGATGATGAGTATGAGAGACAAAAGAAAGATAAAGAAGCAAGAATTCTAAGAATGCAGGAAGCTAAGAGAAAATATTCAAAACAAAAGCTGAAGAAAAGTGCTTGGAATACAAGCTGAACTGAATCTAACAGTCATACGATCAGTATTAATTTCATGATGACCTTGTAGGTAAAAGACAGTCACCAAATGATCGAAAAGGAAGTTCAGTTCATCAAAAGAGTAAAGAGATGGCTTACCTCTAGAACAAATGACCAAATCAAGAATTATTGTCAAGGATCTCAGCCCAGTGTCTAGAGACAGCAAGATCTCTCACACTGGAATTGATAAAGAAAATTACCGATCATTTAATGAGAGGACATCAGCTACAGGGCTTACAAACGCTAAGATGGAGAACTCATTGCTTATTATCCCTAAAATGAACAGTTCAGGAGCAAGACTCCCTTTGACAAGCAGGGTTTCCTTTAAGAAATCAACTCAAACAAATTACAGTACGGTTTCTGAAATATTTGTTATTTTTGATTAATTAAGCTTCCTTACATGTCACAATAGAGCTAATGCCTTCTAAATACTGAAAACAAAGAAAGATGCTCAAGTAAGGGCAATTTTATGAGCATAGGAAATTGTCAAGCAGCGTGAAGGCTAAAACTCAAGTATTATCAAGCCATTTGAGAGAGATTAATAAAGAAAAATTGTAATAATTGTATATGAAATACTTTTAGAGTGCCTAAAAAGGAGGAAATAGTACTCCAAACAGCCCCAAGTCTAGGTAATTTTGTTGATTCTCACTCATTAGATTTCTCAGATGAGTGTCCGGAAATGGACTCAGAATGTACTCCTGAAAACCCTGAAGAAATGATCAAAATTTGTGAAAACTTCAAGTCACTTAGAAGTATTTAACAAATTACTGATTTTATAGCTAATCCTTCACCTATACCTAATTATCAGAAGACAACCTTTTCTATTAGCAACAAGAGGACTCAGAAAAGAGTATATCTCTTCTAATCTCTAGAACTTCAACTACTCCAATTATTATAGCTCTTGCAGCAAGAACACAGATCTCGCTCCAGTGCTGACTGTGTCAGCACTGGAGGAGACTGACTGTGGTAATGACCAAGATTTGTACTGGAGAAGGGAATCTGAAGGAGACCAATAGAAGAAACTTGGGGAAATTAAGTTTTGTTAAGAATTCAACAGGATTTTTAGGAAGAGGGGTTTTGGGGTTTTGGGGTTTTGGGGTTTTGGGG